AGAGAGTGCAGGAAGTGGGCTTCATTCTCTTCTGCATCTTCGTTTGTATCGTCTTGTTTATCGTCACCGTGGCCCTCTGGAAACTGACCGTCCACGTATTCATGAAGTCATGCTTGACGGAAGGTGGATTGGGCTGCTTCGGAACCTTCGTCTTCTTTGTCATGGGGGGCCTTGTCATTTGCTTCGCCTTCATCTTGGCCTTGCCCATTGGCATTTCGGTGCTTGTTGCCTCCGTCCTGGTCGGTGTCGGGGTGGTGGTGAAAGAGATCAGAGACGAAGGTAAAGAAGGGACGGTGTCGAGATGGAGGGGCTGACCTCGCCGAGCCTTTGGGCCATGCCGTGGCAGAAAAGGCATTCGGCATGCTTAACCGGCTTGGCCCAGAAGTTTTGCACAAACTCTTAGAAGCCCCTAACTTTAAACGCTTATACTTATTAGGACAGAAGTTTTGACACATGGTTAGAAGCGGCCCATCGCATCGATCTTGCAGCGAGTTCCGGTTCGCTCCGTGGGCGTTGTTGCAGCCTCGAGGGTTTAGGTTTAGGGTTTAGGGTTTATAGACTCCTGATTAGACTATATAGCTGAGGCATCGGCGACAAAACCACGAATCCCAGAAGACCCTTGAATGCCGAATCTAAGCTCGGATCCTGCTGCCTTAAATCCTAAACTCCACTATGAAGCCCCCTCCACAACCTCCACAAAGCTCACGCGACAACCCCTAAACCCTTTTAGCCCTAAGCCCTTAACCCTAAAGCCTAAACCCCAAAGCCCCAAACTCGACCCTAAACTCTAAACCCTGAGCCCTAACTAGACCCCCCAACTACCTTCGATTATACCCCAAATACTCACTATTAAGGACCATAAAGGATCCATTAAAGGGTACTTGGGGGGTCCTGGTAAACCCTTTTGTTGGAGCCCGCCGTTGGAGGCTCCATAGCCTCGCCAAGCTGGTCGCGGCGTTCCTTTGGTCTCAAGAACTCCAGGGGTTCCCAGAGACTCCGAAACCCCT